GGACTACAAAATATAAGAGGGTATGGGGGTAGGGAGTATGGTAAAGTATGGGAGCATGACGTCGGGTGTAGGATGGGATATAGAGTATGGAGTAGGAAAAGGTGCGGGTTAGGTGGTTAGATTATGGGAGTATTGGTTAAGTTAGGCTTAGGTAACCCTTGGTTAAGTGTAGAGACTTAACCAAAGTGGGTTGGGGTTAGGTTAAACTAACTAGCGGAGGTTAACCTAAGGTTGAGAGGCAAAGGCTCTTTTGCACAAAGAGATAGAATTTCATTAACCAGAAAACAAAAAGAGTCCTCTTAGTTACATTAGAAGGGTTTATATAGAGCTTCCCCTTTGAACAATGGTGGATGCTCAAAACCCTAGAGAATTGAATAAAAAGAAAAATAGGAACAATACAACAAAAAATCGTGTAAATGGAAAATTGACCAAAATTGACATGCATAATGTCCAAAATTTCCAATTAGGACCCTCAAAAAAGGCCTCTTCCCAACCACATCATATGAGGCCTTGGTTTTGGCTTCGTCGGCACTGGAACAAATGATCTATCACTGGAAAAATGTAAATTGTCCCGCTACGAACGTTTATATATCTGATTTGCAAGAACCATAAGGATTTCATGAAGTTCTTGATAGTTTTGAGTTTCGTGGTTTTCATGCAAACCTTTATTGATGTTCTTCCATCAATTAGTCCAAAAATGCCGAGGTTATTGGGATCTTTTGGTGGTAAATTGAAGGGAAACCTGACACGATCATTTTGCATCAAGAATCGTGCAAAAAGACCTCCAATCGATAAGTTATGATTCTGTCAAATCGCTGGAAAATCAAATTTTTGCTACATTTAGAGTTATGCCCGATTTCAAGTCACGAATAGCCATCGATCAGGACCCTGATCAAGAATTTTCTTATGTCAAATCAAAGATAATCGAGTCAAGATCTAAATGCACTAAGTTTGAGCTTGATTTGACAGTCGGATGTTGAGTTTTGATCAAGAGAAAGCAGAAAGGTTCACACAAATGGGTTTTTGCATGAACTCCAAAACTTGCCGACTTCTCTCTAAGATTTCTTCCGATCCAATTGACAATTATGTCGTGAGGTCTATACCAAAAGAACATGCTCGTCAAGGAGCACGACATAGCCAATTTCAGCTTGATCCGACTTGCGGATCGAGAGATTCAAGGGCACAAAGTTTTCCCTTGTTTTTGAAAGCGTGAAATGTTGAATAGTATACAAACGACCCATTTTTGGAAACTAGGGCCTAGAAAGGTCTGTTTCTGAACTCATATGTCACAGTCCAGAAGCCATCTGAAATCAATTTCCAGGAGTTTTACTATATTGTTCATTCGTACACCTATGGAGTGTGGTACTCCTTAACCTTACTTTCCTCACTTAGTGTCATTGCCACGCCCGTTGGGCTGAAAGTTGGGGATATCTCCGGCTTACTAGGGCTCACTCTTGTGCTCTTTCTGGAGCCGAGATGATGTCATATAGAGGCTCTTCAAAATATGGGCTTTATTACGCATGTGCTTCTGTGGCTTTTCGAGCATACTTGGCACACAATAGCCATGATTACAACCGTCTCCTCTATTATTCACATAGGGGGCGAGAGTGCCAAAAATGCGTACAGAGAGCCCTCTATCACCCTTTCTCTTTAAGCTTATTGGAGAAGTCTTCTCTAGAGCCATCTTTAGACTCTATGATAGGGGTTTCCTTAGGTTTTAGAATTTCCCCAGATGACCTGTCCTCTTCCATCTCCTCTATGCAGACAATACCCTCATCTTTTGTGACGTCAATCCCAACCAAGTAGACAACCTCTGGCTCTTTCTTAGAAGTTTCGAGTTGTTAATAGGGATGAAAGTTAACATGTCTAAGACCAAAATGTTGGGAATCCAGGTTGACAATGCTGAACTTGAATCTCTTGCCCAACATATAGGGTGTGCTACGGAGTCCCTCCCGTCCTCGCACCTTGAGCTTCTTCTCTGCTTGGGCAAACCCAAAAAAAATCTTTGAGATAACCTTATAGAGAAGTTCAATTCGAAGTTCGGCAGCTGGAATGGTCGATTCCTCTCCCTTGGGGGAAGAATCACCCTTATCAAAGCCACACTCACAAACATCCTCATTTACAACATGTCCCTCTTTCAAATCCCAGTTTCTATTCTCCAATTCCTTGAAAAGCTCATGGGAGACTTTTTGTGGGCTGGGTCCGCTGATGGTCACAAATTTCACCTTGTAGCCTGGGAGAAAGTTCATACCCCCAAGAAATTAGGAGGCTTGGGCATTAAGAGACTTAGAACCATGAACCAAGCCTTTCTGGGAAAATGGTGGTCGAAGTTCATCTCCCCCCACCCCCTCCTGTGGAAGCAGGTCATTCAAGCGAAGTACGAGCATGGCAATGAACGGTGGTTGCCCAGATCCCCCTACCACAGATCTTCAGGAACCTGGAAGTGTATCTCTTCTAGTAAGGCTTTCCTAAAGTGCATTAGATTCAGGTTAGGGAATGGTCGGAGAATTAGATTTTGGTTAAATAAGTGGATTGGAGACCTACCCCTTAAAAAGGTCTTCCCTCTACCTCCTGGCTCACAATCAGGCAGCAATGATGGCTGATTATGCTGAGTTTAGAGGCGCCTCCCTAGTTTGGACTCCTATTTCTAGGAGGAACTTTACTGACCAGGAAACCTCTACCTTGAACGTCGTGCTTCAAATGCTTGCACCCAGTAGTTGCACCTACTTTCAACACACTCCTTGGTCATGATTTTGTCATCTGGTCCCCTATTCCTTTTGGCACTTCCACAGTATCCTCGTTCTACTCCTTACTTTCAACAAACCCCTTCAACCATCCTCAATGAAACCCGGTCTCTGCCTGTGCCTCACAAGATCCAGGCTTTCATTTGGGTCCTCCTTCAGGGTAAGGTCAGAGACGTGGACTCTCTTTACCTATAAATAAATTCTGTGTCTCCAAGAACATGACAGCAACCACCATCTCTTCATCCATTGTGAAGTCTCTTCTCATCTTTGGTCCTGTCTTTTAAAACTCTTCGGCCTTCAATGGGTCACCCCCCTTCTCTAGCTAGCCTTTTCTCCACTCTCCCAGACATTTCCTAGAAGTGGCAGAAAACTGTGGCAACTGTCGGTGGCAGCTCTTCTCTGGAGCTTCTAGCTGGAAAGGAACCCTAGGACCTTTAGAGAAAACTCTAGGCGTGAACGTTCTATATTTGATTACGTTATCACCTTTTTCTCCCTTTGGGCAAAAGTCACCCCTATCTTTGCCAACCTTCATATCTCTCATTTTTTAGCCATTGGGATTCCCTCCTAAACCTCTCGGCCCACTCAACCAGTATCAAAGCTCAATGGACCCCTCCTCTGCCAGGATTCCTTAAACTTAACATGGATGGTTCATCCTTAGGAAATTCTGGCACCTTCCAGGTTTGAAGGTACTTTGGCAAATTCATATGGCATATTTCTCTCCTTCTCGAGGCATAAAGGAATCTCAAACTCTACCACAGCAGAAGCCTTGGCACTCAGAGAAGGCCTCAAGCAAGTTACTCAATTAGGGTTACAATTTCAGGGACTTATTGTTGAGTCTGTTTCCAGCAATACCATTTCCACAGCCCCCTTGGCGCCTGACTTCCATTTTTTAGCATATATTCTTTTTATGCAGCTCCCTTCCATACGTAATCTTCAGGCACATCCTTTGAGAGGCCAACACCGAAGCAGATAGGTTGGACAAAGACGGTGCTCGCAATACCATAGGTGCACACCCCTTTGAAACACTCATCCCTTTTCGTTCTCTCATCCTCTCCTTCCCCTCACAAAAACATATATAGGGGGGGAGGAGGGGGGGGAAAAAACAAAACGAAAATGAGACCTCATAAATAGGTGCCACTCGACTACAACGTGCCTCTCCCTTTTCACGAACAGATGCGACTTGACTACCGTTTCTCTCATCCTTGTTCTTCTCTCTTCCACTCCTACCACACGCCTCTCCCTTTTCACATCTGGTGCAGTGACCTTACGAATAGGTGCGACTTGACTTGCTCTGGCTCTACCTCCTGCAGCCGGGTGCAATATCACCCCCATGGTGTTCTCGCCTAAATACCGACAGCACTTTTCAAGCCATCCACTGATGAAGCAACTGATTTCCTCTCTCTTTGGTGCTCACAGGCTCTCCACTCCAATGCCACCCACCCTTTCTACAACTCTATTCCTGTATCTTGAGTTTTTTCCAATTATTTTATTTTATTTTATTTCACTATACCCTGTCCACCGGCAGTCTGAGCACCCAACTTGTGGGTTGCCTCCTCTAATTTTAATTGGTAATATTATTTTATAGCTATAAAGTTAACATATTCCTCAAAAAGAAAAACTTGAATAGTCATTGCTTTCTTAACTTTGATGGATATGCATTTCTTGTTGATTTTACTTGATATGCTTTCATTGCTCATTTCCCTCTAAAATATAAAGAATATGGGTGCATTAACTTGTTGATCGACTCATATCGGCTTGGGGTTATCAGTTATGTTCCCTCAACACATGACCTTGTTAACGGAGTGCTTGCACAAACACATCAAAACATATTTTCAAACATTTTGTTTAATGATTAATAATCTCAATTTGAAATACTTATTTTCTTTTCATATTTTAATGAACATCACATCCCAATTAAAAAAATTAATGAATAAAATATGAACATGTGAGCTACTATTTTTGTACACTGTATTCTATACAAATGCAGCAGCAATCCTAGGTTGTTTATCATCCCTTTTTTCTCTGTTTAGTTGATGGTTTTCTTTTGGGTTTTTTTTTTAATCCAACATTAAAAGAAATTGGTTCAGAATCTGATGATTCAGATCACTATAACAATTCTGAAACCTCTTGAAATAATGCAGAGAATATGCATATAAGCGTTTTGCTGGCTCCTTTTTGACGTTATTGCAGTAGGTAAATCATGGGAAGCACATGTAACAAATAGAAATGGAAATAATAGGCAAAGAAACTACTTGCCCCAGCTTGAGGGAAGTGTCAGAACTGTCACTGTAAGGACCAGAGTTGTTGGTGTTGGTCATGGACTCACATGACTGCCCCTCCGAATCGACGACCATGCCTTGCTGCTGCTGCATCTCTGTTGTAGTCTTCATCCTCTCAATCTACAACCATACATCCAATTTGAGCAGAAAACCAAAAACCCACCACATGTTACAGAAGCAAAGTAGAGCATCCAATCCTTCCCACTCATTCCATTACGACTCACCTGCTGAGATAGCCTTGCATTCTCCTCCATTAGTTTCATTTCCTGTCCACATATTGAAACATTATAACAACTCTATTCTCTTCTCCACAAATATACAGTACAGGTGAACTACATTCTAGAATACGGAGAATCTATCACTGTTTATCCCCACCAAATACAGAAACTATTACAGTTCCTCCAAAGATATAAATAAACTTTTTATAGCATGGTATAAGAAGTTCATTATTTTAATGGAAAGAGAGACCATTAAAATCTAACATATTAATTACAAATTAAACCACGAACTAGCTAGTTATCTTGCTTTGATAGGGTATTGCAATATTAAACTCCAACAAGAATTTTTAGTTCACAAGCTATGTTCAGCTTGTGTTAGAATCGCTATGGAAAGGCTACTAACGGAAAATTCAGCAAACAAAATTATGTCATGAGGTCTATCTAATTGGAACCACTTAGAAATTTCATCAAACATATCGCACACATTTCTTTTTGGCATTCAATCAATATAAATCTAGGATGCAAACAACATCCAAATGGGCTCTCCAAATACAGCGGTATGCCCAACTATACACTTACATTAATAGCATGTGAATAGAAAAAGGGGGACAGAAAGGAACTTCCTCACTAATATTAGCCACCAAATCTTTGATAAATTCTAAAAATCACCCAACAATTCAATAGGATGTTTTGGGTAAGAGAAATAGATGGTTAAATGGTGTAAAAGTGCCTCAGCAATCGGTTATCTCAAAATGACCTTAACAAGGCTTTTTGGATACTCCCTTTTGATCAAGTTACCTCTGAAATTTTATGAGAAAGAGGAATTATGAGTAACGAATGAGACTAAAACACCATAGCTCTCTCAACAACCCATATGCTTTAAGGCTACAAATCTCTCACCCAACATATGACTATTGGGAAGTGGATTTTCTTTTTTAAAAAAAAAGGGTGCCTTAATCTATTACCCTTACATATATGAGAGCATGAAACATCTACGTCTCAATGCCTTAATCTATAAGTAGGGCGTGGCCCTTCTTTGAACTAGGTGGGGCGTACCCCCCATCGCTCTTAATTTGAGAGATGAGAACTTGAGATGAGAAAGAGAGAGAAAAAGAAAGAAAGGGGGCAGCTAGGCTGTCCCCTTTGAGGGGTAGAGAGAAAGAGAGATGGAGAAGGAAAGAAGGGAGCGGCTAGGCCATCCCCTTTGTAGAGAGAGAGAAGGAAAGCAAGGGGGAGGCTAGGTCGTCCCCTTTGTAGAGAGAGAAGAAAAGAAAGAGAAAAAGAAAAGATAAGTATAGAGAGAAGAAAAAAAGAAAGAAGAAGAAGGAGAAAAAGAAAGGAAGAAGGCAGAAAAAGAAGAAAAAGGAGAGAGATAGATGGGTTACCTAGATGGGTCCAACGAGGGCTCGAAAAAGTCGGGTTCGACATACTCCTTGGGTCCTTTGAGTACTCTTGAGAAGGGTTAGATTTTGAAGCTTGGGATTGGGGTGGAGCCTAGCTTAGGTGGGTTAAGGTGAGGGTTAGCTAAGGTGGGTTAGGGTGAGGGTTAGCTTAGGTGAGCTAAGGTGAGGGTTGGCTAAGGTGGGTTAGGGTGAGGGCTAGCTTATAGGTTGTATAATGGATGGGTTGAGTACGGATAGGGTGAGGTATGGTGTAGGGAGTATGAGGGTAGGTTGTATAATGGATGGGTTGAGTACGGATAGGGTGAGGTGTGGTGTAGGGAGTATGAGTGTAGTGAGGTGTAGGGGGTATGGGTGTAGTGGGGTGTAGGGGGTATGGGTGTAGTGGGGTGAAGGGAGTATGGGTGTAGTGGGGTGTAGGGAGTATGGGTATGGAGTATGGTATGGTGTAGGGTTGAGTGGACTAGGATGGGTAGACTAGGGTGTATGGTGTAAGGTAGCGTAGGAAATATGGTGTAGAGATTCTAGGGGAATTGCTCTCAATGCTAAAATATTCCCTCTCCTTTCTCTTTGAAGTGAAGAATGAAAGCTCAACACAAAAACTCAAACTATCAAACATTAGCTTTTAAATTATCTCCAACTTAGGTTACAAAGGGTGCCAAAGTGCTCATATAAGATCACCCCCAAACATGGTTGGATGATCAAAACAATGCCAAATTACTAAAAATTACATTTTTTTCTAATTCAAAGTGAATTTTGTTTTTGATGTTAAATGACTGTTTTGCCTTTTCCAACTTTCATGGAAATGACAAAACCATCCCTAAAGAGATGTCGGGGCTCTGATAGATGGCCACTCGAATGGGAGGATGTCTCACTTTAAAAATTTTGCAAAACATGAGTTTTCATGTTCACTTTCTCTCTACGATTTCTCTCATCTCGAGTGTCATCTCAAGTCGTACCTTACATCAAAACACCCCTCTCGATGGGATCTACCACATAGCAAAATTTGAGCTCGATTGGCGTCAGGATGAGAGAGTTATGGTTATTAAAATTCAATCTCGAAATTGAAAGGCACAATTCCCAAAATGAAAACTGGTTCATTGGGGCAACATGTGAATAGTGCGAAACCCTTCCATTTTGGGGAAGTTGGCCATAGAATGGTCCAGAAGCGTCCAAATGGGCCGAAATTTGGCATTTGGGTTTTTTTGGGCCTTCTTACTCCAATGGCAATGGTCTGATGCTCATCTGAGACCTTGTAGACATAGCTCTAGTTATGAGGTAGCTTTCGACATGATAGAGAGCGGTTCTGCAAATTTAAATTTCATTCTAATCGGATTTATCTTGATCGGATTGGGACGAAAATTGGCGAACACTTGTAGAACATCAAATGCTTCCTTTCTCATGCTTTTGGGGACAAGGGGACACCTTTTCAAAATTGCTCAAAATTTAGGCTTATTGTTGCGGGATTTCGTGGTCCACAGGTGTGACTAGTACCTATGGGCCTGGGTTATAACCACTTCCTCTATTATTTGATCCGGGTGTTAGTGCGTCAAAAATACGCTCAAACAATTTCCTTTATTTTTTTTTTGTTATTCTCTTTTTTTCTTTATCATGAGATGAACTCACCGAGTACTTGGACTCAGACGACTAACTCGCCTCGGCCAAAATCCGAGTACATTGGTCGAGTCGATTTTTCGAACCTTGATATATATATATATATATATATATATATATATATATAGAGATCTACAGAGGAAGTACTCCTACAGAGTCTAGTACTACCTAACTAAGTTAGTTTAAAGTTTTAAAGTAGTAGTAAGTAAGG